CTAACATTTCAAAAATAGAACTTTAAGAGCACAAAGCAAGAATAGATAAAGCCCTGAGGGGATGGGAAGGTAGGGGCGGGCTTCTTCCTCTTTGATCTCTAATGGCTGTTTCCACCCCAGGGATTCCGGGCAGGGGACCCAACAGGGAACCCTGGGCCTCTTTCCCATTCTGAGAGTCCAATGGTGAAAGGCACAATGAGAGAAACCGAGATAAAATCAGACATAGGATTTTGAAATCCACAAAGACTTTTCTGGTTCCTGCCCTCAACTATGGATTCCAGCAGTATTGATCAATTCTATTAAATCTGCCACTCCATGTAATAGCTTGTACAATTCATCCATGATTTCTGTTGCTAATCCAATCTGGCTCACCACCCTACCTGATACATCATCAGAAGTACCTGTCATGCTGGATCTCTCTTTCCTCCTGAAATATCCTCCTAGTTTTCCCTACTTCCCTGGTCAGTCTTTTTTGGTTTCCTGGTTCCTCATTGTCTCCAACCTTTGCATCTTGGAGTGACCCAGGGCTTAGTCCTTGGAGCTTTTCTTTTTTCTATGCTTCCCCCTGGATCTCATCGACTCTCAGTTTCAAACACTTCAGTGCACACTGACATCTCTTAATTTCTGTCTCCAGAGCTCCTGACTTCCCTGTGCTCCAGACTCATATATCTCTTTTTCATTTTTTTTTTTTTTAATCGGTACCGGGGATCGAACTCATGACCCACACACTTGCAAGGCAGGCGCTTATGCCGCTGAGCTAAATCCCCAGCCCTAGACTTATATATCTCAACTGGCACTCCCGTTCGACTGCTAATGGCCATCTCAAATTTTATCATGCCCAGAAGAAGCCAATTCACCCCTCCCATGAGCCAATGGTAGCCTGCAGGGCTCAGGAACAGAAACAAGAAGCCAATTTGCCCTTCCCATGAGCCAGTGGCAGCCATTTTGGGACCAGGGGGAGAAATAAGCAGCCAGTTTGACCTTCTTGTGAGCCAGCAGCAGCTATGCAGGGCCAGGTAAAAAAAAACAAGAAGCCAAATTGCCCTTCCTGTGAGCCAACAGTGGTCACATGGGGCCACGTAAAGAAAGAAGCCAATTTGCCCTCTCCATGAGCCAGCAGTGGCCACGCAGGGCCCAAGAGGAGAAGCAAGAAGCCAATCCATCCTTCCCGTGAGCCAGCTCACACGTGAGCTGAGACGAGAACTGCACCCCTATAAGCAGCCAGCTGATTTGGAGGAACATAGGCTGAGTTGATAGCAACTGAGGTACAAAACAATTTAATGCTTATATTGTTTGGTTGACTTTGCATGCCTAGAGCCAGTAGTCTGCACATCTGTTTACAGGATAACAATATGCAGTATAGCAACTATGAGGGATTTCCCTCTTAGTTTTTTTTTTTTTTTTTTTATCAGTACCGGGGATGGAACTCATTACCATGCCCTTGAAAAGCAGGCGCTTATGCTGCTGAGCTAAATGCCCAGCCCCTGTCTTGGTTTTGAAATCTAATATTGTTTTCGCCATTTTGTTTTGTTCCATTTTATTGTTTTGTTTTATTCAGTGTTCTGTTTTGTTTGATTTTATTACATCTGCTGGTATGGGCAACAATTTTGAAGATGACAGGAGGAGTTATGGTAGCTATTGTTGATTTCCTATTATCCTGTTTTGAAGTCCTATATCACTTTCACTGTTTTGTTTTATTGGTTTTATTGTTTGGTTTCATTCTCTTTAAAATAAAATTTAAAAAAGAAGTGTTATCATGCCCAGATGGAATACCTGTTCTCCCTCAGCCTTCTTAGTCTTAGTTAAGGGTAACTATGACCTTGTGCTCAGGCCCAAACCCTTGGCACCATAATTGATTCCCTTTCCCCCTCACTTTATATGTCCAAAACATATTAAAAATGTATCATGATCTGACCCCTTATGCCCATACCCCAAGCCCCCATCTCACCCCACTGAATTACTGCAGCAGTTTACAACTTGGTCTGATTTTCTTCTTGGCAACTGCAAAGTGGTTCCTTCAAGTGAACATCAGATGGTATTACTTCTAAGTTCAAAAAACCCTTAATAGCCAAACAGCAGAATCAATGCCAGAGCCCTAGCAATCTTACACAGCCAAAGTGATATAACCTCCATTGCTTTCCTTTCTCTGACGCTGCCCCATTTTCAATTTAGTTCCATGTTTCTTGCTATTTCATGAACACTCCAAGCATGTTCAAAGCTTTACTTTTCTTCCAGATAACCACTTTATCTGGCAGCCACTTTTAGCAAGTCTTCGCCCAACTGTAGTTTTCCTTGACATATTTAAAATTGCAATCCTCCACTCTCATCACTCACCACGCCCTTTCCTTTATTTTTTCCATGGTACTCTGCATCCTCTAACAGATACTATCATTTATTTATTTCATTTGTTTTCCTTCCTTCTCCAGATGGAAGATTAAGAGCAGAGGTTTCTCCATTTCACTCTACTAATCCCAGAGTGATGCCTGGCAGTATTTGAGACTAACAAATCAGTGCTATTCCTTATATTCTGGTTTCATGTAGAAAATATTTTTCCCCACAAACCTGTGAGTTGCTTAAGGGAAGGGTGGGCTTTACTGTGACTCTCACTTTCCCCTCCAAGTGTTTATCACGGTTTCTTACATAACTGAAATATAGTAAGTGAATGATGGAGAGACTCGCTTACTCAGGACAGGAAGCACCATCATCCAGGAGAGCCCTGCTATTTGTTTTAAAGGTAGAGGTAGTGGACATCACTGATGGTAGCTCCACAACCACCCCAGTTAACTGATACCAACGCTCACCCTCTTTTCCTAGTATGAAGTACTCTGAAGGGTTAACATCTGCGGAGACAAACTTCAATCCACAGGGACAAAAGTTGGCAGATATAATGTTCCAGCTGCCCCAGCCTCTGGTCCATGAAAGGACAGGAAGATGGTGCTGCGGTGTGTAATTATGAGCTGGTGGAGATCAGCTTTGAAGCTGCTTCAAGGTAGAGTTGTTCCTTACTCTGAGCTGCTGAATGTTCTTGGGCTCTGGAAGTTGCAGGGTGTCTGTGTGCCCACCAGATTACAGACCCTCTGAGAATGTGAATTTAAAAACCATCAATCATAGCACTGGGGCCAGAAACCAGACCTCCAGCTCTGAGAACCTGGTCTTATTTCCACAGTAGCCCCTAAAAACATTCCAAAGAGGTAATTTTGGAGACTAGACGGGCATGTTTTCAGATTCAATTTCAACGAACTGTTACCATTTAAGAAGGCCTGCCAAAAAGATAATGGAGATTTTAAAAAAGTGCTCTGTAAACTGTAAAGTGCTATCCAAAGGTTAGCTATCGGAGATTCAATGCCAAGGTCAACAAATCCTGGACTGGATATAGAGCCAGACTGCAGATTGGAGCCACAGAAAGGCTGTTCATTCAAGGACCCTTTTTGAGTGAGCTATCAAGAGAGGATTTCCAAGCTCAAAGGAACACAGTTGTCTGTGAACTGCCCTAACCCCACCACCTATTTTAGTATAGTACATATGCTGAATAGAACCAATGCTTACATTATGTATTTGGATTAAAACTGATTTTTTGGGGCTGGGGATTTAGCTCAGCGGCATAAGCGCCTGCCTTGCAAGCAGCCAGTCATGAGTTCGATCCCTGGTACCGATAAAAAGGAAAAAGACAAAAAAAAAAAAAAAAAAAAAAAAAAAAAACTGATTTTTTCTGGGCTTTTCCCAGCTTGCTTGCTTAGGGGTACACACTGTGCTGCTGCCACCTGCACCGCTGGGCATCAGACCGTCTCTCCAAGGTTTCCAACTGTCTGGGTGCATGGGTTTGGCTTCCAAGTTAGTTCACATTTGTCCCAGCTGCAGTAGAATTTAGATTCTGCACATAGCCTCGCTTTCAAAACCACATTCTTTTGCCCTCACATTACCTCTTGTCATCTAGCAACTGAGTAAGCATTGTTCCGCTGACTTGGCTCTCGAAAGGAGACCTTGGTGAAGAATAAACTTCACATCTCCTGGCCTCCTTATCCTAGTGCCCAACAGAAGGGCAGCAGTGTTTGGTGACCTCCTGCATTAGGTTCACAATCTGAGTCCGGGCCTGGGCTGGATAATGAGCCCATGAATAATGGGGAGCTGACTGTCAAAGCTTTATCGTGGGGAAGCTGAGAGGCAAGCTCCTTTGTCCTGCACCCTCCGCCCCTTCTCCCCAAGCATCTTTCTTCATCTATCGACCCTAATGGGGCTTGTGTGACAGACAATTCATTCCCACAAGCCTGGACTCAAGAGGCTGTGCACTGATTCAGTCTTGGATGTTTCTACGCTTAAAGGCTTGTAAAACAGTGAAAGAAAGATAGTAGGTAGACTGACAGAAAGCCTCTGTTCTGGGCTTGAAAAAAAGCTCTCCTCTATTTTTCTACCGTAACTGGAGTCTTGAAAAGCACAAATGAAGGCTACAGAAAAAGGGTGAAAGAACACTGAACACTGCAGAACTGGACACAACCCTGCCAACTCAATTTCCTTATACAGCTTTCCCAAGTAACACAGTCCTAAATAGTAACACAGTCCTAAGTAAGAAGCGGCTTCTGAGGACGGGTACCTACTACTTGCATGGCTAGGAAAACCATGAGCTAGTTTTTTGCCTGTTTTTAATGAACCACTAGTAAAATTTTTTACTTGTCAAAAGCAACACCTGCCAGGAGAAAATTAGAAAATGGTCTTTTATTTTGGCAAGAGTTTAGAAGTAGTTGTGCCAGCCTGGCAAGCGCAAGGTCATGAGTTCAAACCCTGGTACCAAAAAAACAAAACAAAGAAGTTGTGTATTTTTCTTTCCAGGTGAAGTTTCCTCAACTACTTTCAACTGCACCACACATTGCTAAGACTTAACCAGCTGAGGCGGAAGCCAAGGGTAAGAGGGGTAAAGGTGGGAGGGTAGGGGGTGGCGGGGAAGCCAGGTAGCTTTTCGTTGCTTGAACATCACTGAAGGCAAGAACGAGGCTGGTTTCAGGTGCTTGGTAAACGAAAAGCAAACTTCTTTATTGTACACAGTACAGAATATAACGCAGCTTGGCAGGATGCACACAGCCCTGCGCAGGGGGAAGTTATTTAAAATCAACCGGCAGGTTAAAGCCTTTCTGCACTGTAGTTTCCACACTCTGGAAAAGAAGCAAATGAATCAACCCCCAAACGACTCCAAAAGAAAACAACAAAAACCACCTGGGAGGTGCATGAGTCCAGTGGGAATGCAACGGTGATGCCTTCGTCCTATGTCGGCGAGCACAGGCCTCGTAGTTGCAGCAGGGTAGGGGGCAGCTCAGACTACAGAAGATTATTTTCATAATTGCTAAGCCAGCATAAATTCATCGGAAAACAAAACAACCAAACCAAACCAAACCAAAAACCCCAAACCAGTCTAAGTAAAGAAAGGAAAATAAATCTATACAGCATGTACAACAAATAAATCTCCTAGCCAGCTGGGGGTAAAATATGCATCTATGTATACAGACTATGTGTAGATTAGAAAGCTATAAATATGATTTAGGAAGAGTCCTTTGATTAGAATACAACGCTAATTAAGACCCAGGCAACAGGTGTGACACTTTCGTGGGCTACCGAACTGCCCATAGAGGAAAATCTCAGGTTTTCAGAGCTGTAAGACACACTCTGTGTCCTTGTGAACTTCACCAACGTGCTGCTGGTTGTTCCAGGGAACCATGGGGCACCATCACGGAGCAGCGTCTCACACGAGGACAGCACAGTCATTCTCTATGTGCTGAGCAAGCTGCACGGCACACAGAGGCGGTGCCAACACGAGTGGTCAGCAAGGTACTAGCACTTTCTAGTGACTTCTCCTCTAATTTGAGCTCAACTCGCATGTCACTTTAGCTTGGCTGTTTTCAACTTCACCCATATGATACAGCAATCAGAAGAAACTTGAAGGAAAAAAAAATGTGGCAGGAAACAAGAACTCTAGCACTGTCTTACCTGACAATGTCACAAGTTAAATCTCCAACCCCACTGAATTGTTATGCAGGGTTTAAAGTCCAAGATGGAAAGAAAAACGTAAATAAACTGAGGAAATGGCAGTTGCCATCAGTCGTGCCCAAGGAAGCAGCCCTGGGATTCCTATCAGGTGACCAGGATCCGAATGGACATGACATGTAGTATGTACATCTCCTCCCAGGGCACGTGTTAGTGAGCATGGTGCGCTGTACACACAGAACCATCCAAGCTTGTGTCCAGGCTGCCCTGCACACTTCAAAAATATACAACTTGGGCATGAATGTTCTGTCAGGTTGTCTGGTGCAGGGGGCACAAGGCGGGCAGCAAAGCGGGCTTTCACACGCCCAAGGGAGAGCCCCAGCAAAGCCTCTCTCAAGCTGCGGCATCATAGGAAGTTGGCACGGCCCTGCCTAAGGGACACAGTGCAGTTACCAAAAGGTTTGTTTTTGTTTTTTTGCTTTAAATACCAAAACTACAAAAATCAGTTTATAAACTTTTTTTCCCCCCAAAACAACCACCAAGACAGAACAATCCCCACCCCCGCCCCGAATCAAAGCAAAAACAAAATACTGTCAAAAGTGTTAATTGCCCTTCTAAAATGAAAGCCAACCACCTTCAGCCATGTGACTAGGCAGGGAGAGGGGGCTTGCTCTATTTTGGTGACCACATGGCAGGAAGATTCCCAAGAGAAGGGATGGTTTATGACTGGAGAACCACGGAGTGGGTAACAGCTGTCCTGAGTTCCCCTTTCCTGGACCAAGAGGGAGCATCCAGAGGGAGATGCAAGAGCTCTGCAAATCTCAGAATGGACCTGTTCAGGGTCTCCTCAATGAAGCCTATCTCCTCTGCTATGGGCTTGTGACCTTTTTCAATAAACTGTGCAAACTGGAGCCCTTCTGTGTTATAACAGACACTTAGCTGTTTCTGATCAATGCAGATTGTCACACGCTTGGTCCCGTCTCGCGGGTAATGAACCTGAACAAGGTATTGCTTTGCATACATTGTCCAAGGTGGCAAGAAGGCTCCATTCCCATCTCTTCCAGAAAACTTATCAGAATCACCACCTCTGGGTGACTTTTTGCCCCTCCCTGTTCCCACACCCAGCCAAGGTATCTGTGTGTGTAAGGGTGTCAGTCCAGAGCTGGCTCGGGTTCTCAGATAATACTCAAAGGGCAAGCTTTAGGAACAGCCAAGAACACAAACAAAACCACTGCCCTCGTTTGCTGAATGGGAACTGCTAGCTCTAGGGTTTGGCCACTCAGCCATTCGGAAACTTAGTAAGCAAAGCCTTCGGCATAGGGGAGGCTGCTGCAGCGATCCACATCCAGGAGATAAGCAGGGCTGTCGTCAAAGTGGGTCAGGGGCAGGGTGTCCTCCTCGCTGAGGGGGCATTCGGACTCCGCCTTCAGGAAGGGGCGCTGATTATCCGGGAAGGCCATGGAGAAAAGGGCATCCGGATCGCAGACAAATTTGTAAACGTATCGCTCCCCGGCCACCTGTCAGAGAGAACACCCTTTTATAAGGCCCAGGTAGAACAAGGTTGGCAAGGGAAGAAAAAGAGGTATTTTTAAGTCACCAATCTCTCAGGGAAGCCCAAAACCACAGGAGTTCATGAGGAGCTGATTATCCAAATGAGTCACATTTGAGGAATCTTGGGACCTATTACCTGCCAACCACTTTGTTGATACCACAGCTCAGCAGTTGGAAGAGATAAGTGTTTGAATTTCAAATTCCTATCAGAGAGGCTCTTCCAGAAGAAAATCTTCACTTTCTGTCTTACACTGACAGGGTAGAAAGCGTAGGAAGCATGGCTCTGCTGAGGCTGGGGGACCTGGGGTCCCCAGATCTGAGGCCTGAGTGGTATTATGCAGAAGCCCAAGTTGACAGTTTTCTTGGGGGGTGGATTTGTTACTTTGAAGGGTGAGGAATTTGATGAAGGAGCTTGTGTGGAAATTTTAAGTCTGTTCCAAAGCCAAGGAAAAATGCTTTTGGATCTACCTGCGGTTTTAAATTACATATTGCTTGGTTCTGCCACACTGAAGGAATCAATAACTGCCTTTATGGGGATTCAATGCATGGCGTATTATTAGAACCAAGGGTCTTGACTATTTAAGGGCCTTATTATGTAGCAGAGCAGCTATCTAGGTCGATGGACTCTGCCAATGTTTGGCAACAGAGCAGAAGGGTACACAACCCTGAAAATTAGCAGTCTCTGTCAGATAAATGCACAAGGCCAGGGAAAGGCGGGGGCGATTCTGATAGATAAAACATTTCAGACTGAAGTAGTTGAATTATTGAGTTTAAATCTGTCTTTCCATCATTTTGCTGTGACCCCAAAATCTGTTTTTAAATTCAGTATGTATAGCTTTGCTTCCAAATCTTGGTTTTAAGAAGTCTGTCACTGTAGTGGTGATATGAATGTCCTAACAGGTTCACAGTGACACTTCTAGGTCTGGTCACCAGAACACAGTGTAGCTCCAACACCAGGAATCAGGACCAGGTGTAGGAAACAACTCATGGATTCACCAAAGCAAGCTAAAGGGAGCAGAAGGATACAATCAATCATCCCTACTTCCTTTTCCAAGCCTAGTTTTACCTTACATTCTAATCTCAAATCCGTTTGTGTGGACGGATACGGCAGAAAGAAATAGTCACGAAAACACTAACCCGGAAGCCAAAAGCAACATGACTTCCAATCCTGGTTTAATAAATCTCGAGGCTTAACCATACACACCTCAAATTTTCCCCTTCAAAAATTGAGGCTTTGGGTCATTCTTTCCCTATTGATAGTTATCATTTGTCTTTTTAGTTAGTTCTCATTACTCGCAGATCATACAGTAAATAAAATGATAATCCCTTACATTGGAATGAGAACACTATAAAAAATCTATTATTACCCTGTCAGATTATAGCACAGCTTATCAGCTCGTATTTTACTGCAAATAGAGGACCTTCAGGCTTAAGTGACTTTCCCAAAGCACAGGGATCTCAACCCACCCTTACTGTAGGTCTTCCTATATATGTATTCCTTGCCTGTATCTCATCCTCAGGAATAAATTTCTCTTCTATGTCCTTCAGACACTTGGAAGCCAGCACAGGACAAACTCATGTGCATTTGTTCCAAATTCCTGTGTCTTGGTTCCATTCCCCCATTTGGTCATGTTGGTTGGGTTCTGGAACTGGGAAATGACAGTTCCTAAATTGACACCTTCCTAAATGTTAAGTTTTGACACAATGATACTAACATAAAAGCGGATTGGGGACTGGGGGAAATGGGGAGTGACACTAATGGGAATAGATTCTCTTTTTGGAGAGGTGATAAAGTATTCTAAAATTGATGGTGGTGATGGTCACAACAGATTAAGGATGTTTGAACCAGTAAAGTCTCTGCCTGCACAGTCCAGAATCTAAAAAACTCCAAAAACTGGAATATCTTTTGGTCTCAAGCGTTTTGGATAAGGGATATTCATTCACACTATACCATGGAGGCTGCCTACATGTGAAAATGCTACAATCTGGGAACTGCTCAGTATAAAATTGGGGGGCTATGAAAGACCAAAAGAAGATTCACTGCTCCCATCTTCTACTTAGCCATGAGATTTTAAGATTATGGTTCTTCATCTTCTGCCCCAGTAAGGATTTGGAAATGGTGTGGCTTCTTCAAAGTACACTTCACTCTCTGTTTTGCAAAGAGCAATCTGCTACTGGGTGACTCGGCTGCCATTACAACCTTGGGTTTTTACTTGAGTTCCATTTTCTATAGGTTTAAAAAAAGAAGTAAGATTTTTTTCTCCTTCTTCTAACACTTTTGAGGGTATCAAGCCAACATTATCTGGAAGTTGAGGTGTTTTAACAGCCAAAGACTTCAAGCTCTCAAGGGAGTAGAATTTTAAAGTTGATTCCCTCATGCTTTCCTTTAGAGATAGATAAAATTGTTGGCCTGTTTCTGGATATTTTTGGAAGCAGGACAAGTTTAAGTACAGCAGGGGAGATCAATTTTCCTACTGTGTCTTTTGTAAGCACCTTGTGGCTTGCATATACCCAAGGGCTTTATAGGTGCTCCTAACATCTCGTTGGATTCAAACCCTTTCCTACCACACAATCATTTACGAAGCTAACATTTTCTCTTAGCTGTTATACCTGGTGCTGTAACACAGCCCCTAGACATCTTTGAAAGCAACACGGATGTGCGAGCGTGTGTGTCTCAGTGTCCCTCCTAATGGCTCACCTTCTGCATGATGCCCTTTTCATAGTAATAGCGTAGGGAACGGCTCAGCTTGTCGTAGTTCATGGCTGGTCGGTTCTTCTGGATGCCCCAACGCCGAGCAACCTGAAGGACAAGGAAAGCAAAGAGCAATGGAAGCACATTCTCCGGGCCTATAGTTTTCTCCCAGCCCCAGGAACGCCAGCTCTGTAACCTGCCCGCCCTGGCCAGTGATCCATTTCTCTGGATATGGGAAGGAAGGCATTTAAATCCTTTCAGGAGAAACACTGAACAAAGGTGATGACTTAGTTACTAGGAGGTGAGATGCAGAGGCAGAATAATCCTAGCACTTTAAGACTGCAGAGGGTTTGGCGAACATCCCAGAGGATGCAGGCTCTCTACTGTTTCTCGACGTATGAATTATTGACCAATACTCAGACCATTAACATGTTGCTATTAAGTGCTATGGTTTCTGTAGCAGTCAATAAGAAATAATTAGAATGGTCATTCCTGAAACATTAGAAACACACTAGTGAGTTGCTAATGGGCCAGCAGAGCAAAAGTTCAATTCTAATAAGATTGGAGAGGGACTGTGAGATGTTTACTTATTGCAGCTCACGGACTAAGGGGGAATCAGATCATTTCGGCCTGCTGCCATCCAATCCACTGCTCCCAGCAGACCTGCAGAATGGACATTAAGGCATACAGCGCCATTATCCACTTAATGAAAAATTAACAGGGCCTCCCGCACAGTTGTGAAGTGCATTATGCCCAGCCTAGTCCACCTGAGGTGCAGTGAGGAGATGTAATTGGAGCTTAGGGCAAAGAAGCCTTAGAAAAGGAAAACTTCCCACTGGAGTCTACCCAGTTGCCAGGGCGGCCATGCCAGTTCTGTTCTCAGTATCTCCACTCCCAAAATCCTCCTCATGCGGATGTGTGTCAAGCCAGGAGGAGAACAATGCTGAGTATGAGTTTTCTCAAAGATCTTTAAATGCATGGAAAGCAGTTGCACAGTTGCACACTTTCGGTCAGCTCTGGAAATTTAACAACAATAACAAATACCCCCTAGATATTTTGAGATTTTAAAAGCCAAATGTTGAATATGGAATAGGAAGTAGAGCAAAAACAACACTGCACACAAAGCTCCTGGGCTTTAGAATTCGGAATTCTAAAATAACCTTTGATAAATACCAGAAATGATCTGGTAAAAAGAAATGTGTCTACTTATGAAAAAAATGTCAGTAGCCATGACTCTACTCCGCCATCCTGTGAGAGCTGCTTCCATTCATTCCAGTAATTTACACTCTCGCAGCACTCAAAGGAGGTGCCCTGTGCCTTCCACATTGCGCCCATTCAATCCCATCTTAAAATCAGCCAGTGAGGCAACATGAACCAAAAATGACCTCTTGGTTCAAGAGGACAAACATTTTCAACCAAGGGAAAGAGTGGTAAAGTCAGAGGTGGTGGCACACACCTGTAATCCCAGCACTCAGGAGGAGGCTGAGGCAGGAGGATTGTTGCAAGTTTGAAACCAGCCTAGGCTACAAAGTGAGCTCAAGGCCAGCCTGAGAACTGCAAAGCAAGACCCTGTCTCAAAAAGACAAAAACCCAACAAACAAACTCCAGTAGTAAGAAGGGAAATCTGTGAAATCAGTCTAAGTAAGTCTGTCTGAGCCGGGAATTTAGCTCAGCAGCACAAACACTTGCTTGGCAAGCTCAAGGTCGTGAGTTCGATGCCTGGTACCAAAAAAACAAAACAAAACAAAACAAAAACAAGTCCTTCTGCCATGTTCAGCAGACTGTCTGAAACACGTCTTTAACTGCTGTCTGCAGCAGGTGACTCGGGGAAAATTTCCACGAGGCCTCGCCTCATCACTTTTCTCTGTTCTGGTGGTGGGAGACCATTCTGAATATTCTTCAGCTTCTCTGCTGACCTCCCTCTGGCGTCGCTTACATATGCAATAGCTCACTGGAGGGGAGGTTTTTGTATAATGCACAGATTTTGGAGCAGCTCTCGTAGCCATAGTTACTGACTCATCCTCCTGGGACAGAGCCCTGTGATTCAGTGGCCCTCAGCATGCTGGCTCCTTCTATAGCAATGCACGATATGGCAAAGCTCCAGAGCAGCTGGAGATGTGGGCTGACCCTGTTCTGTGGCATGGGAAGCCAGCAGGGGACAGCTACCAGCTCAGGTCTTTCTATTGCACTTCCCATTAGTTACTTAGGGACCACACAGCCTGAGGCTGAAAGAGTAAAAAAAAAAAATCCACCTAGCTCCTCCTCCCCTTTCAGGAGAGCAGACTCGGCACAGGGAGCGGTTCTTTCTAGCAGCCACCTTTAAAACCTCCCATGGTATCACTTATCTGCCACATGTTCAACAAACAACCCTACCCCCCAAAATATTCATTAATGCAGATTCACAGTTAAAATGGCTCCAGATTAAAGCCGAGTCAGTCGTAATTGAGAGGGTGCTAAGCTGGATGACTATCAAAAGACATTTGATTAGGGGGCCTGCCAAAACGCAGTTCTAAAACCACAATTTCCATGCACAGTGTAATGGATATTATGGATAATTACCCAGAGTGCACTACTCAGCCACACAGCTGCCTACAATTACGTCCGCAACGGCTTCCTCCTCCACTTCACCCTCCAAGCTCCCCCATGACGACTTCTTACAGCTTCTCCCCAGGGCTCGGCATCTTCCCCCCATTAGAAAGAACAGAGCCCCCGTGGTTACACAAGGAGCAGAGGAGGGAAAAAGTTAGCAAATGCTCTGTGTCCTGGGGCCAAAGTGCACACTGGGAACTCAGTGGGGTCTGGGTGAGAACACAGCCCCTACAGCTTAGAGCATGGTCGGGGGCTTCAAGGTGAAGGGAGAAAAGAACAATTCCTGAAGAAACGCAGCTGCCCCATCAATGGAGAGAGGCTCAAGGCCACCGCAGGCCACTCAGGCATGTGACTCAGGGGGTTGGCATTTATGAGCATTCTGGATTAATATTAGTTTCTTTATTAAGAAAGCAGGGGCCCTTTGCCATCTGTTCATCATTTTCTTTACCACTGGTAGGAGAGCAGACGGAGACGATTCAATAACAGCTTTACAAAGGGTCATAACCAGGTTTACCTGCAGCTGGCCAGCCTGTGCTCAGGCCTCAGGCAGTGGCAATAAAGTAATAAAAGCTCCTGTTTGTGAAACAAGATAAATCAATAAGGGCTGCCCACTTTCCAAAAGCCTCCAAGGTGACGCATGTCCCTGGAGCTTCACAGAAGCTAGGCCACGTTATCAGGAAAGCGGCCAAGGGAAGGACCTGCCTAATGAAGGGCAGGGGGTCTCCAGGAGGGCCATAAGCTGGGAATGTGGTCTGTTTCCACGGAATTCGGCCAGGAGAACAACTCTCAGGGAAAACCAGCAGTCTCGAGCTCTCTGGCTTTGCAGGGAGACTGAACCTCATTACAAGCTGTTTACAGGGCTGGATGTTGACACACGGCCCTGGAGATGAATGAATCCAATGAACACGCACATCTTTTACAACTGCCTTCAAGGAAGCCTGCCTTATTCACCAAAGGATCAGGATTAGCTTTCAATTTCATACTCTCTTCTCCTTTTCCCATTTCAGCTTTTAGGTTGCTTCCTTCTTTCAAAAGGAGTGCCAGGCTGTTACCTCCCACTGTGCTGAGCCATCTCACTGGTGTGCTCAGGGCAGCCCTGGAGTTGATGACGACCTGAAACTGCAGCTCTTGCTCAAATGCTTTCTAAGAGTCTTATTTCCATTTCCTTTTTACCCAACCCCTTTTGCTCCGCTGATTTAACTCACGCGCCTAGGTTCACACCACCGAGAGCAACGGAGAGCACTTCAGAGAGGCAGTCATTTCTTTTCCGTTTATAATTTCTTTATATATCCCCAAATCAGATCAAAATTAAAATCTGCCCCTTTGGACGAGGGTTCTGTGGACAGCCTGAGGTAATTTACTTTGTTTTATGATATTATTCAGGGAGATTCAGGGATTCCATGATGTGCTTTCTCCAATGAAGAAATGGCACAGGTTTTCAGCCTTTCTGTCAACAGCTCGGAGCAAAAAGACAGGAGCAATGTTTATTTATCTATTAACAAAATAATAGAATGACGTTATGTAACACACTTCCATTAAAAAAAAAAAAATCAGAGTTCCAGCTGGGTGTGGTGGTCCACCCCTAGAATTCCAGCACTCTGGGGAGGCTGAGTCAAGAAGACTGCCAACTTTAAGTTTAGCACAGCCAAATTAGTGAGGCCCTGTCTCAAAATCAAAAATGGGCTAGGGATACAACTCAGTGCTAAGGACCCTGGGTAAGGGGCAGTATTATATAAAAAACAAAAAACCCAAAAATTAAAAGTTCAAAAATTGATTCATCTCTGATCATTTTCTTTCTCCAAGTTACAGCCACTTGAAATATGCAGGGTGTTAATTCCATTACTGAAATCTCATATTCTTTTAAGTTTACATAGCTTCAGATTTGGACCCTGATGAAACCAAACAAGTTTGTGTGATTCAAACACTTAAAAAGTTTCCAAGAGGAAGAACACATCCTATTTGGATTTATGTCTTCATGGTTTTACCCCCCCCAAGTTTTGGGGGACTCCTACAAATACTTCATGTACCCTACACTGGTGGAGTCTACTGCCCAGGTAAACTGTCCTATGAACAGGAAGGAGCCAACCAAACCCTCTTGCCAGTCCAGCAAGAGGATGAGAAGAGCAAATTTAATATAGAGATCTAAACAACAAATGTGACCATCAACAACCACAAATCAAAAATCGCCCTTGCCCAGTATGCAGCACTTACCTCCTCTGGTTCTATTAGCTTAAACTCCATGCCTCGGCCCGTCCAGGCAATGAAGTGGGCATTGGCTGGGTCGTCAAGCAGGGTGACCAGGAACTGCCACAGCTGGAGTGAGCCTCGCCTCTGGTAAGGGGGTCCTTCCCGATACATAGTAGGCTCCTGTTTGATTTTACCTGTTAGGGAGAAAAATACAAGTGCCACACTTTGGCCCAGGGTTTCTAGGGCAATCTGGACAAAAGAGGAACCATTTCTGCTGCTTTAGTCATTAACTGGGTGAGGCAGTCTGAGGGATATGACATCTCCAACCCTGTTTCCCTCACTCTTTTTTAGACAGGGTCACTCTATGCAGTTCAGGCTGGCCTTGGGCTCACTTTGCAGCCCAGGCTGGTCTCAAACTTGCAACGACCCTCCTGCTTCAGCCTTCCTAAGTGCTGGGATTAAAGAAGTGTGCTACCCACCCCGGTAGACCAACCCGTTTCTTAGTACCACACCACAGCTGGGCTCTTTACCTTCCAGCCGCTCAGGCACAACACAAGTGTCGTCGAAGTATAACCGGGGATCTTTTTCATAGGGAAAACCTGCAGGAGTTTAAAGAGAAAGACTACATTGCTTAACAGATTCTCTGTGTTGTACTATAACCATGGATTGAAGGACTAAACTGGGATTCTGCCGTTTCAGGTCCCGAGCCCTACTGCTGTGTCTATGCCAGGCTGAGTCTTTGGCAGCTCTGAAGGGACTGGGCTCAGGCACACTGATGCGATCAGCTGAGCCTCGGCTGGAGCAGCATCCATCCTGCTATCAGAACGAAGGCTACAGGAAGCGCTGAGTCACCCGCAGGTCTCTTGGTCTGCGTGGGTCAGTGTTGCTGTGACTAAGCCCTCAGATCTGAAAAGATGCCTCATCTATTTTGGTTTGCCTGGCTGGATGGGTTTATTTGACCTGGATGTAGTCTTGACATTTTCCTTTTAGCAAATATTAATTTCACCCTTCCCTACAAACTGGTCCAAGCTCCCTGCTACTCTGTCTAGTCAGGGAAGCCTGGAGGTAGAGAACATCACCTACGGAAGACAGACTGGACCTAGAAGGGTTGCAGGGAATGGTATGCTTCAGAGCAAGCTAGAAACAAAATCACCAGGCACAGCAGAAGGAAGGCAGGAGACTTTCTAGCAATAAAGCACACGCCCTGCATAAACCCCTAAACTGAGGTCTCAAAAGGAGAAGTGACTGGTTCACCCAGGCATATCAAGGAAATTAAAGGGAGTAAGATACAGGATTAAACAGGTCAAGGAGAAAAACAGGCTGACCTTTGCCTACAGACCCTTCCTATACACTCAGTGCCAACCATGACACCTTGACACCATTAGGGGTTCAAACCAAAGCCAGTTGGCAACCAGACGTGATGGCACACGCTTGTACTCGCAGTGCTTGGGAGGCTGAGGCAGGAGGCTTGCATTGAGTTTTAGGCCAGGCTGGGCTGCACAGTGAGCTCAAGGACAGCCTGAGCTACACAGTGAGACTCTGTCTCAAACAACAATAAAACCACAAAACAAAAGGCAGCTGGCAGACCTCCTTTGGGGGATCCTTCTCCCTGTTTTGAAGGGCTTAGGACTGCAGTGTTATTTCCCTACCACTGCAAACTTGGCAGGGACTCCTGTCAAAAAATGATGCCTTGGGGCTGAGGATTTAGCTAAGCGGCATAAGCGCCTGCCTTGCAAGCAGGCAGTCGTGAGTTCGATCCCTGGTACCGATAAAAAGGAAAAAGACAAAAAAAAAAAACGATGCCTCTCTGGAATCAGCCATTAAAGAGTGCTGGGTAGCAGAGGGAAGTGTGTACTGGGTATGTGGTACGACAAGGGAGAAGAAAGGGCTCCCCAAGAAAGAACCTTTATGAGAGCTCAAGAGTGATTTGCTGTGACTAGAATAATCAATGGAGAAAATGCACACCTAGAATCCCAGCACTTGGGAGGCTGAAGCAGGAGGATCTTTGTGAGTTCGAAACCAGCCTTGTCTACAGAGTGAGCTCGAGGCCAGCCTGAACTGCATAGAGACCCTGTCTCAAAAACAAATCAACAAACAAACAAACAAAAAAACCACCCCAAAACATAAATAAATAATTAATGGACAAAGCAGTCAAGGCCCAAGTCCACTATTTTCTACTTCACAACCAACCCACATCAAGGAGCTCCTTGGTAGAACCAGTACCATTTAAAGAGAGGCCCAGGCCTGGGGGAAAAAAAAAACTGGCCAGACTTGGGGGAAACAGAGATGGCTTTGAGGTTTTGTTTCATTCATTTTTGTTTCTTTAGCCTCAGGCACGATTTCTGTTGCTTCACGACATCAAATGAAGTTTATTTTATTGGCATTTATGTATTACCGAATGCACTGAATGTTAAGGCCAGGCATTATGCTAGAATGGGGAAGGGCAGTGAGGAGAGCAGACTTGGTGTGTGTCCTCAGTGCTTCCGCCTCAACTGGGGGCGGGAGGGAGAAAGAAAACATGGACTGAAAGAAAGGATGGAGCCACAGAACAGTGTGGACATTAAAGAGTGCGGGCCCGGGGCTAGACGGGTGGAACCAATTAACTGCGAGATCTTGAATAAATTAATCCCTCTGTGCTCCAGTTTCCTCATCAGGGAAGGCCGGGAAAGAGAGTAATTCCTGCCTTACAGGGCTGTTATGAGAATTTAATGAGTTAATAATCTACAGTCTGTTTTCATCCATCACTATCTGTACTACAGAGTGCCAAGAATAGCTGCTGGAACTTCAGTGCGTAATAAATGTTAAAAAAAAAACACAGCCATTGCACATTGTGATAAGTACTTAAGAAATTAACCAGATAGTGTGAGAGCTTCAGTTTACATCTTATGTCACGGAGGCTCAAGTCTGAGGATAAGAATCATAGCCTGAGTATTTCGGGGTACAGCACCTTGTCCATATGATGGCTCAAAAAATATTTGAACACACAAGAGACTGCAGTCTCTCATTAAAAAAAAAAAAAAAAAAAAAAAAAGATTTAAAGAAAACAAAGCATTTGGTGACTCCTGATAAATTTACACTTCGTTAGGAAGACATAACCCTTTATGCACCAGGTTTTGAATCTGGGCTAACAGGAAGCTATGTATTTCTGGACCCTCAGATGCATTCCAGGGAGGTTTAAGTGGTCATTGTAAGTGAACTACTTCCAAAGGTATGGACTTGCCAAGCTTTCCATGTTGCCTTGAGAACTTTTCCTCCTCTAAGGTAAATTTATAATGCACACAGACTCATAATATTATGTGAAATGGTGGATGCTATACAAACAATCACACACTTAGAACCCCCACAAATCTAGATTAAATTCTGAGTTTAGTTTGCAAAACTCATCAGCTCAATGTCTGTCAGGAGTACCGTTTTAGTACGTTTTGTGATTTCCAGCGATTGTCACACGTGATCCCCTAAAACATCTGGGAGATGCTACTGGTTTAAGTGAAACTTAAATCAGCTGAACGTGCAGTTATTTCAGTTGTGGCCACAGCCTTTTAATCATGCAGATAAAGGTGGCAGGAAGGAAGAATCTAAGTGGAAGTTAAAGATTTAAGACATTATGCGAGGATTCTAGGTGAGCACAAGACAGGCCCGCTATCTGTGCAATCACCGATGCCAATCAGAAACACTTGTTTCGCTAACTGTGGGCATCTGAGGTCAGTACCAAATGTAAAGGGTAAAAAAACCATGTCAGGGTAACTTTAAACCATTAAACTGCTGGTCTTTTTCGGAAATAACTTCAAGCGTGTGTGTGTGTGTGTGTGGTGAAAGGAGGGGCATGTACACACACCAGATAAGTCTGTAAACAACCTGATGCCTTTACTAAAAATGCTTTCTTGAAGGGATGCGCTTTCCTAAATGTTGTAATTATGCAAAATGTTTTCCTCTCTGTTTTGCCGAACTTCCTCCTAGTTGCCCGATGCAGACATGAACTGTTTCTGTAGAAACATTTGAGAACCCAGTCAGCGGCCCCTCACACTGCCCACCTGCCCTTCCCTCTCGAGGCTGCAGGCTCACTCAGGAGATCACAGGGCACCCAGAGAAACTCTTGGTCTCCCATCTAACTGAGCCAGTAGGGAAGCAGCCACCCTGGGAAGTCATAAATTAATGACTCCTAGAAGTCAGCCAATGTTTCCTGGGTACAGTTCTTTGAAGCATCACCTACAGTGCTAGAGGTCGGTGGTTCTCAAGCTTAGAATAGGATGGATCCAACCCTAGATTTTCTGATTTAATTGCTCTGGGTGAAGAATGGATCAAGACACCCCGCCCCAAATTGCGGCTGAAGCTAAGAACCGCTACTATGCAGATCAAACTCAGGGGACATCAGCAACCTCTTCAGGACTTGGGATGAGGTCTCAAGGAGTCCCATCAAGTCCCAGGGGAAGCTGATGCCCCAGGTTTGGGGAATCACATTGCGCTGGATATTTTTAAAAAATATTTGACAGAAAACAAGATATGCTCTTGGAGAATCTATTCTAAGAAAATAAAGCACAAAACCTCAAACCTTTCCTGTATCAGTTATTGGAAGGGGAGCCCTTCAAAGCCATAGCTCTGGCCCTGAAATATAAATTTTGGTTCTGAGTCTACCTCTCGAAGCTTTTCATACCCCTCAGACCTTTATCTCAGCCCCCCAACCAACTGGGGGCCTCTCCACACGAGTGACTGATTTGCCACTGTCACCCATTTATGCAAGAGCTGTTCAGTCAATGCTCCGAGCAGCTCCATCCGACAGCTTAATTATCCTCCCCTCCAACAGAAGCACCCTCTTCCTCCTCTGCAACCCCATAAAATGACTGTGCTAAAGAAGATTAAATCTTCAAAATCTGTGAGGATGCACTAAAAGCAAACGACAAAACGGTGATGGCGCAGGGGTGGGGGGTGCATCACTAAAACTGGCTGCAGGTGCCTGGCAAATTGTCATTTCCCTTTAAACCAGAAGAACTAATAATGGGGGGGGGGGTGGCAAATGGGGAGGGTTTACATAAAAAGATTTAGTTATAGGAACATCCACTTCAGATTATTCTAGAATAATCTAGAAAGAGCCACCTTTTCAGCAAGAGGTGAGCAGCAAAATGCAAACGCACACTCATGCCCTCCAGTTCTCCATGCAGCTCTAAGGAAGAATCTCGGGAATGCTGGGTGCTACAGCAGTGACACTGGCTGTACAGTGAGGTGGGAGACAAGAATGTGACACTTGGCTTGGAGCTCAGGTGCTACCTTCCTAGCCACACGACGCGGAGTAAATCTTTTTTTTTTCTTCTAAACAGTCTTTTGACATGTAGTTTAGGCTGACCTTCCTGCCTCAGCCTCCGGAGTGCTGGGATTAAATATTTTATAGGACTGCCTTGAGTATTAAATGACTTAAAGAGTGTAGAACAGGGTTTGAAACATATTAAGCATTGACTGAGAGTTAATGGCTTTATGACTATTGCTAAGTAAAGAACTATAAAATAGTATGGCCTATGTAGGAGCTGTATGCATAAAAGGAACAGAAGACTCCATGGCAAGTTAATGCTTATCTCTGGACACTAAGATTTAATTGTCTCTTTTCCTGTATTTTTTGTGTTGGTTTGATTTTTACAAGGCTCTTGCTTTTTAGTCTAAGCTGGCCTAGAACTCATGATGACCCTCCTACTTCAGCCTCCTGTATTTTCTGAATTCCATGTAACAAACATTTATTGCTTGCTACAAAGGTTTTGTTTTTTTTAAAAAAAACACTGCTCTAAAAGCAACCTCCTCCAGGGAACCAAGATTCTAGCTCCATTCTGACCACTTCCTGGAGCCTTTACCCTGCAGAATATCTATACATCTTATTCACTCTGAGATTGGCCCCAATTAGATCTGTGCTAACGAAGGCAAAGTCACAGACTCAACCTGCCCACTGCAAGGAGATTATCCCAGAGCCTTGCAGAATTAGTTGATCCCATAGGGACTGGCCCTGAGAATCTGCACAGACAGCACAGCTTTGACATACAACCATATTTATGTGCCAATAAATGTCAGGACAGATGGTAAGTCAGGTTTGTGGGTAAACTGCTTTGTATTTGTTCTCCTATTTCTCTTTTAAAGCACCTTTAAATTCACCCAGTTAGGAACATTTTTTCTGGTGACCTTCCACAGTGTGCTCTCAAGGCCAGAGGCACATGCGTCAGATTTCCCTTCCCTGGGAACAGTGGCAATCATTCATCAAAGAGCAGTGACCAGGACTAGAACTATCCACCCAAACCAAGGAGAAGCTGGAAATACATCTTCCTAAGATGTCCTTGCATCTAACAGTCCACTGACACAATGCCTAAATTCCATTTTAGGGTGATATATCTAGAAATGTGCAGACCCTTTTATTCCCATGGTTCTTTGTCACAAGTTAGGGTCATCACTGTTAAACACAACCGTACCCTCACAGTCTTCAGAAGCAGATCTCAAACTCTGTGACCAAGAGAATTGTTGATTTGGATCAATTAGCTAAGGAGAGTTTCATCTATGATCTTGAATTTCAGCCTGGAAACAGCAATTTTATACTTGAATGTTTTCCCTTGTTTGTTTGAAGCCAAGCTGTACTATGCAGCTCCTGCGTCAGCCTCCTTCCTGCGTGCTGGGATTACAGGGATGCACCAATACAGTTGGTTTACGTGCTTACTTTTTTAAAAAGCAAGCTCCTTACCTTCATGGCTGCTGGAGAAATATCCCCCTCTCATGTAGGATGACTGGCAGTTAGGCACTTCTGAAACAGAAGCACAGATACACACACCTTGTCAAGTTTCAGCAGAAGCAGCCCAAGGATCAGCACGGCAGCAGTAACACCCTGTACCTTCTGTTGCTCCAAGACCAAGATTTCCGGCTTTGAGTGGGAAAGAAAAACAATGAAGCTTCTCCCTCAAAAGTCATTAATGGCAGAGACTGACTAATGCCACACCTGGCAAGAGAGCTAAAGGTATAAAAAGCAATTCGCTTTCAAAAGGTCCAGCTTGGTCTCCTGGGCCCTAAGGCAGGGAGGGAGGATTGCTTTAGATTTTTCTGTTTTGCTTCATTGTACTGCAGATGTTCACATTTAATTCTCTCTTTCTGAGACAGGGTCTTGTTATGCAGTTCAGCTGTTCTTGAATTCACTTTGTAGACCAGGCTGGCCTCAAACTTGCAGCGATCCTCCTGCCTCAGTGCACATGCGTGCTTGCACACCCAGCAGGTCACACCCAATTCTGCTACCACGGGTGAGGGAGTCTTACATCAAAGAGATTAGCCAATCTCAAGTTTCAAAGCCAGGACAAGAACTGGCAGGGGCTGGGAATGCAGTATGGCAAGCACATTTTTACCACGTCAGGTTTGTTACCCTGAAACCGAACTATATTCAGGTGATTTCTTCTTCAGACCTTCAGTCAACAACATGTTCATGAGAGAGCGACCTGGGGAGGGGACGGCACCCCTGTGAATGACTTACAAACACATGCTTGTAACCTCAGCACTCCGGAAGGCTGAGGCATGAGGATTCCAAGTTTAAGCCTAGCCTGGAGAATTTAATGAGATTTTGTCTCAAACAACAACAACAACAAGAGGTATGGGGAGGTGGGAAAATTACATATATGGTAATAATTGTGGAGTATCTTGGGGAAGGAGCTGCACAGGGAACAGGCTAAAATGTCAACCTCCAACGGAAGAATGTTGCTAAGCTACTTCCAAGAAAAATGCCTCAAAGCCTTCAAGAGGAATGCTAGTGGGCATTTTTACAAGTGACCACTACCTGACTCATTTTTCTGTCATAAAGCAATAGAGGTTTTGGCTCGGTCTACCTCCCCAGCTTTTCACATACCATTTCTGTCTCAGATGGAGCAATCCATGTGTTATCTATCTCTACATCCCACGCCACCTACAAAAGGCCAGCCCAGTTCATATTCCCCAACCTGCCCTACGGTCTTACGAAAAAGTACCAAGAGAAAGCTTAAGAATGTATCAACTGCTCTCAACTTCCTTTAGCACTAATTCCAAGAAAAGAGTGAAGAAAGTTTAGTTGTTTCTATAAAGAAAAGGAGAAACGAAGAGGAGGAAACAGTTTCCAAATGTGCAAGCTGCAAAATTCTAATTCTCCTTTCCCCTAATTGTCACATTTAACATGCATGGCCTACAAGATATGTAGGCAAGGGCTGGGGATATAGCTCTGTGGCATAAGCACCTGCCTGGGAAGGACCAGGTCCTGAGTTTAATTCCTGGTACAAGAAAAAAAAAAAAAAGATACACAGGCAATGCCAAGTGTGGTGGTACACGCATGTAATCCCAGCAGTTGGGAGGCTGAGGCAGGAGGACCTGTTGGGAGTTCAAGATCAGCCTGGGCTACAAAGTGAGCTCAAGGCCAGCCTGAACTGCATGGTTAAGATTCTGTTTCAAAAAAAGACATAGATTCCTAGGTAATGAATGAATTACACGGGGAGGGAGATTAAGCAGCTTCAATTTATTGACATCAAGTTCCTAGGCCAAAAACTGGGTGTCCTCAACAAGTGACTCCACTCCTGGTGCCTGCCAGTAGCTGCGGAGGGACACCAGGACCTTCCCAGTTGCGATCATTGTATTACAGCAGTGAATTCTATGCAGTGACCCACAGGAAGAGTTCTTTCACAGTGTACCCTGCTACCCGAAAACCTATGAAATGCCAAGGGTCTTCTCTGGCCGTCATTCACTTCAAGAACAAGAATCCCGTCCTGCACATGGACTCTCCTGTAGACACCCTGGGAGATGAATGGGTTTGCCATATTCAAAAGCAAAACCACGAAATCAGGATAGGACTGGACAGGAAAGTGTTCCCTGTGTCCGGTGAACGTAAGGCTAATAGGTCTGAACAAAGGACACCGTTTCAGATCGCTGTCTGTTCTACTTTGTGTTCAGTTATGCGTGAACAGGTCTGCTGTACAACTGCCGAGTTCATTTAGGGTAACTCTCATTGTTGGTGCAGTGTTAGGGCTCAAACCCAGGCCTCGACCTCCACCACTGGCCAGCACTCCCAGCCCTTGAGCGGCGTCATCTTTACAAAATCATGCCTCAAAGCCTTGCAGATAGGACAGTGATGCTAAACACGATAGCAAAGAAGGGAACAGCACGACTTTCTGCTAACCTGAGTCGACGCAGTAATCTCGGGGCTCCTGCTTGATTCCCATTGGTGACTGGAACCCATGCGCTGGGGGACCCGGCATGCCAGGGACCCCGTGTTCGTAGAGCGGGTCGTGGTATTCTTGTTTGAATCCCTGAGGGGGAGGGGGCGCTGCAGGGACTATGGGTTCCGACATCTGCCGGTGGTAACCGGGGCGATTATCGCCGGGGACGCCCGACTGCTGCGGAGGGAAGGGGTGGCAGGGTTCAGACAGTTGCCTCTGAAATCTGAAAGGAGGAAGAAAGTGTTTAAGGAACGACTGAGCACCCGGGACTGGAAATTCAGGTTTACAAACTTATTTTCAAAGTACTCACTAATGCTTATTTCTTGACATTTTATCCTGGACCAGAAATTATATTGCACACGTTGTAAATCTCTTTAGTCAAGAAGAGGCAAAAATAAAAACAAAAAACCCCTCAAAACAAACAAAAAAACCTCTATGATGCACAGTATAATAACTTCTCTTGTTATTTGACACACAGTCTATGTAGATTTGGGACCACATTGTGTACCTGAATACATAAGACCTAACAATTGCAACTGGCACTAACATATACTTATTTTTTAATTAGTTCATTCATTTTCTCACCTGTAGACAGAATGAAAATTTAGAGTGCAAATTAATCAGTCGGAAAATACATTTTCTAAAAATCTCACTCAGAATAAATAAAGAAATAAAATCTCACTCAGTAGCAATCAAAAACTTCAAAGTCCTAGGAGTGATCAGTAAATGTGTAGGCCTTAAGAAAATGATGTAAGAAAATATTTACAGCTTTCAAACTACTGATTTAAACTGAGAATTATTCTATAAAAGCAACCTTTCCAATCAATTTGACAAAATGAGTCTAAGATTTAAAAGATCAAATACTTTTTGAAAATAATGAATTACTAGGTATGACACACATTATAAAACTATATCTAAAACAGTAATGCAAGTAATGAAAAATCAATTGGCAGATCAAAGGAACTCAATGGAAAGTCAAAAACGGTTAGGTTGTTCCAAAATTTCAATTTAAGTTGGCATTTCAAATTAGTGGCAAAAAAAAAAAGACTGTTTTATACCACATTTCAAAACAAGTTTCCCGTGGATGAAAGACTGATGTAAAATTGAAACCGTGTAATACAAAAGTAAATATATTTGAGAACATAAATAATTTTAGAGGAAAACTCGCTAAGCAGCATATCAACAGCAGAAACCATCAAGAAAAACACAGACATGCCTTACTGTCTGAATTTTCACAGGACAAAAGAAGCCAACCAGAATCAAAACCAAAACAGAAACATCAAACCAAGAAAAAAAATTTGCACAAAGACAAAACAAAACTGAAAGCACTTTTGGGGAAAAAGTTTCTAACAATATTAGTATTGTTACCTGACAGTCTCAAAAAAATCTCAGTAGGAAAAAACTGAGTAAAGAGAATGAATAGGAAAATCATTAAAGAAGAAATGTTAATAGCCATAAACAAATAGTTCAACTTCAACAGTAATCAGAAAGTACCAGGGCTGCCGATTTAGCTCAGCAGCATAAGCGCCTGCCTTGCAAGTGTGTGGTTGTGAGTTAGATCCTCGTTACCGATAAAAAAGAAAAAGGCAAAAAAAAAAAAGTACCAAGTAGGTATGGACAGCTATTTTGAAGATAACAAGACATTATGGTAGCCATTGTTGATTTCCTATTATTTTGTTTTGAAGTCCTATACTGCCTTTCATTGTTCTGTTCTGAATAGCTTTATTCTCTTAAAAAAAAATGTACAAGTAAAAAGAGAATTACTTTTCCCTCTTAAATTGGAGGATGACCAGGCAGCTAATAATACTGTGCCTGCCACACAGCCAAGCTAGTCTTAAATGATCATCAACTTCAATGTCTAACTGTAAAACTCTGATATCACCACTTCAAGACTACCAGGAACCATTAAATAAAGTAACATGCAAATATAAACATATATGTATTTCCAGAACCTTTTATATATATAAATATATATATGATTTATTTTATTTTATTTTTTGAGACAGGGTCTCACTGCATAATTCAGGTTGGCCCTGAACTCACTATTTTGCCTAGGCTAGCCTCAAACTCGTGGCAATCATCCTGCCTCATCTTCTCAAGTGCTGGTATTACAGGCACCACATCTGGCTATGGAAATACACTGTCTAATCGATGATTATCTCTAAAACCCTTTAGTTGGCAGAGAAATTCAGAGGTGCTAACTGTTCCTCCCTGACAGTGGGCAGTGTAGAAGAAAGCCTGAGACCCTCAGGAGATGCCACCCCTAGCTTTTATTTTCTCTGTGACAGGGGGATGTTATCCTTCCAATGCTCCTGGAATGGTGAGACACAATCGCGTCTATAAAGATGCCTTTGTCACACACATGATCTTTGACAGACTGGAAAAAAACTTCTGAAAAGTAGGGTGGAGAGGTCGGTGACTCTCAATCTCACAGATGCACAAGACACTCCTAACCCACGCGTAAAAGAGAAAGCATTTGTGATTTTCTTCGGGGTGGAAAGCAGGAACCAGGGATCAAAGAACAAGAAAAATTTCGAACAGCTAACCCCAGGGTTGTTTCACAGTATTGAGGATTGAACCCCAGGGTCTTTGCACTGAGCCTCACCACCAGAGCTATTTATTCTTATATTTATTCCTGCCACAGAGTCTTGTTAAATTGCTCAGGCTGGCCTCAACTTTTTTTTTTTGTCTTTTTCCTTTTTATCGGTACTGGGGATCGAACTCACAACTGCCTGCTTGCAAGGCAGAGCGCTTATGCCACTGAGCTAAACCTCCAGCCCCTGGCCTCAATTTGTGATCCTCCTACTTCAGCCTCCCAGAATGCTGGGATTAATTACAGGTGTGTCCACCAGGCCTGGCTGAGTTATTTTTTACTATTATTTTTGGTGGTGCAGACTGAACCCATGCGAAGCACAGGCTCTAGGAGGGAGCTGTACCTCCAGCCCCTCAATGAGTTTTTAAAAAAAATCGACACTATAATCTTCCTAATCTTGTAACCATAGATTTACTCGCTTTTAGTCTGAATCCTATTAATAGCTTTAATCAAATGATTTGACTTAGATTTGAATCAATCTGCAGCAACAGGTGGTCCACAGATTTTTAGAACATCAAGTTTCAAAATCTTCAACTGCAGAGATCTGGGTACAGATAAAATGTTGCTCAGATCGGGGTGCAGCACCCCCAATATGTTCCTGTGAGATGTACTAACCCCACTGCAAGCTGCATTGAGACAGGATCTTAAGAGCATGAACCCAGAGCAACATCACATATACTAACACCTGAATCCGCCCAGCCCACACCCTCAACATGTATCGGTGACCCAAGCTTCTACTAAGGCTGAGGGGCTTTTGTGGAGGTGCTGGGTGAGCTTCAGCAGAATGCACCATCAGGAACTAAATCTCAAGATTGCCATTATTTAAGGAAACCCTTCAAGGGTCTCTGCAGAAGTATAAATCTGCACCTCAGGTTTAGGCTTGACATTTAGAATACAGGCAGCAGAAGCAGCGCACTGCAGACCTGAAGGGGATATTCTTTCAGAAAAGAGACACGAGGCCCTTCTTGGGATTCAGATTTACTTGTAAGAACAGTGACAAAGGTCCCTGCCTTGCATTTTCTCTCCCCTTATCTCAAGGTGACCTCCACAAATCCTCTGACAGCTCTGGTGAGGCCTGTCCCACCCAGCTCCTCACCAGGTCATCAGAGCCTCTGCGGCTCAAAGGCCCCCTGCTCACTTCTGCTTGGTGCTCATCTTCTCACCTCCCAGAATGAAAGGCTCGAGTCAGCCTGGGATGCCACTCTCAGGCAGGAGGGGACCGGCCAGCCAGCCAGCCTTCCCCGGGCACATGCTAAGGACAGCCAAAGCTGGCCGACTCTGTGGCTGCTCATAAAACTAACATGCTTGGAAAGAGGATTCAGCGCTGCTGCCGTAATTGCTCTTATCTGCAGCTTAGTCAAGTAATTCAGCTCTTGTCCTCAAACTGCGTCCAGTGAACGTGATGTGGTGACCTTCACCTGAACCCCTTCACCTCTCTGCGGTCCCTCTGAGGTATCGGAGAATGTGTCATCTACTTCCAACAGTGACTGAGGAGGGCCACAGTCATTCCTCGGGGAGTGGCAGCTCGGCTCCTCCAGTCTCTTCTCCACCCCACCCTCCTGTGACCCTGACAGAGCTCGAGCGTCCTGAGCTTACGTGTGGGGAGCAAAGGGAGAGATGGACTCCCAAGGAAGGCCTTTTCAATGCTCATTTATTTAAAGCGAGTTATTGATTTATTTGTCAGATTTAGATAGCACCTTTCCTCCTAAGAGCTCACCCACACCATCAACATTTGGTTTACGTTATGCAGCCCGTTAGAGGCTCTCTCTGCATTTCCTTTTTGGTTTCTGCTGCCAACGTCCTGAGTAAACACAATGCTTGATGGAAAGAGGGGAAAAAAAAAAAAGGAGCAAAGCGCAGATTCGAGGAAGGCTCCGGCGTGCTAAGGCTGCCAGGTGGATTAGTGATGGCCAGCGTTCAGAGACACTTGGCAAAATCTGCTAAGGACCAATCCCTGGCACTTTCAGCTATGAGATGATGATGGGAGACAGAGGAGCGGCATAACTGAGAGGCTCTGGCTTTGAGGTCAAATACAGCCTGGTCTGCAATCCAGTCCCCGCCACGTGCTAGCTGTGTGACCTTGGTTCGGTGAGTTATGTAACTAGCCTGAGCCTCCGTTTCTTCACCAGTAAAATAAGAACCTGTCTCAGTGGCCTGTCACAAACATTACAGAAGGTAACACAGGGAGGCCAGCTGTGGTGGTGAACACCTGTAATCCCAACACTTTGAGAGGCTGAGACAGGAGGATCGCTACAAGTTACAAACAAATGCTGGGGGTAGCGACAAATGCCTGTAATTCCAGCATCCTGACAGGCATGAGTTCAAGTCGAGCTTGAGTAACTGACAGAGATATTATCTTAAAAAAAGAAAAGAAATAATAATAATAATAAATAAGTAAGAGCTAGGGATACAGCTGAGGAAAAAGGCCCTAGGCTCATCTCCAGCATGGGGCAGGAGTGGGGAATAATGCATGGAACAGAGCCCGGAGTACCATGAAGTAGGTATTCAATCATATGATACTCAGCTGCCCCTTGTCTCCTCCACAAGCCCTTAGCTACAATCAGAAGACTTTAATTAAATTGAGAGCTCACTAGTTGTCTACAATATTCATTCTTTTGTTTTGTTTAAAT